CGGTAGGTTTATGGTCGGCGTTGCTGGCTCATGCCGCGATAGAATGGCGTCATGGGCAGGCAATGGGGATTACTAAGCTTCCCCTCTCTGATAAACCACTGCATGAGAGAACCAAAGATCTAGTCTAGCAGTGATAGTATCACACTTGTTACTCCTTTTATTGAGAGCCGCGTCGTAGTACGCTTACGTATAGGCACTGACGTTGGGTGTGATACTGGCGGGTTTTGCCGCAAATCACTCTTATTTTATTTATTTTTTACGATAGATTTTTTGGGTTTGTAAGGGAATTATACTATTGAAGTATTTCAGAAAGTGCCCAACGGTGCTCCTTCTATTTGCGTGACAAGCTTTCATTGTTGTTTTCATTGAAGTATTACTCAGGGAACAATGTTAAACACCATTTTGGACATGGTATTGTAAATAATCTTATATGTGCTTCATTTTGATTTGGGATAAGTGTTTGAACTATGGCTCGGGATTTCCACTGTGGTGTGCTTCTATTGTGACATACCCATATGTATTTTTGTGGTGCGACATAGTGGAAACGTGAGAGCGTAATTGGAACATATACCCTATATAATGTAAATATCAGCTAGGAAACTAACTTCAAAATAAAGCATTTTAGTCACATGAAGGTGTTACCTGGGTCGAACTAAGATATAATAAATAGGTATAGGCTTAAATCAGAAGTACTTGAAACACGTTTAATTTTAGATTACAAGCACAAGTGCAGGTACTTTATAAAGCATGGGTTATGATTGATTAGGTGAATTAGAGCTTTTAATAATTTAATAAATTAGACTAATGAGATATCATAATCATCAAATGAACTTAAATAAGAAACTTCAGAAAGTCTAATGACATTAAGTAGATTAACAAAAGAATTAGGATGCGGGGGGACCGCTTAGGAGGCAACTAACCTTTAAAGTTGTAGAATAAATCTTCTTATTTAGTCTTGAACTTTAACAAGAAAACGCAGGCAGACCAATACTATTAAGCAGATTAACAAGGAGAGGAATAGTTTAGGAAATAAGTAAAAGTAAAGGTATGTGACAATTAATAGCTTTTAAACTTTTGGAGGTATTGTATTCCCCTGAGTTTGTTGTACTCGATTACTATATAATTCTCTCAATACTCGAAATCTCTTATATATGCGGTTAAAGCATTTGAGTTAACTTATTTCTTAGTGTTCAAGTACTTACATTTGTAAAAAGCAGTCAATGTTAATCTATGAACTAAACCATACGTAAAATCGATCTTTCCTTATGTGGTATTGATGCATGTTTAACTTTTCGCGGCTGTCGGAATCAACGCGCCTACGTCTACGGAGCTTACGCAGAAGTGATTCGCAAATGCGGTAGAGCTCACCAAAAGTTTTTTGAGCTTCTGTAGTATAGAATTTGTTCGGTACGGTCGCGAAATCTTGAAATAATTGATACGTGCGGTAAAATAACTAAATTGAAACAAAGCTCAACAGTAAAATAAGTAGAATATTTAGGGAGGAAACCAAAATTAATCAATTTGCCAACATAGGCTATCACATTTATTTTGGTGGCACTCTTTAAGTGATAATAAGTTGTTTTTTTTCTCTACGGTTGTTTCGCGTGGCGTTCACAATTTGCGCGATTTTCGTATCTTACGTAATTTAGATGTTTAGCTATAAACGGTTTCACTGACTCGAGGTCGTTCCTTAAGCAGTGTTGGTACAGGTTAAACCTTTGCCGACTGTCGGATTCAACGCGCCTACGTCTACGGAGCTTACGCAGAAGTGATACGCAATTCGGTAAAGTTTGTCAAACGCTTTTGAGCTCATAGAATTTGTTCGGTGCGGTCGCGAAATCTTGAAATAATTGATACGTTCTTTAAATTAACTAATTTGATACAAAGCTCAGCAGTAAGTAAGTAGAATATCTAGGGAGGAAACCAAAATTAATCAACTTGCCAACATAGGCTATCACATTTATTTTGGTGGCACTCTTTAAATGATAATAAGCCTTTTTTTCTCGCTTCGGTTGTCTCGCACGGCTTTCGGAATTCGCGCGGATTTCGTAACTTACATAATTTAGATATTTCGTTCGAAACGGATTTACTTATTCAATCGGTTTACTACGCGGATGTATCTACACGTCACAGCATTTTTTCTATAACTATCTTGAAACAATACATACGGAATCCAGTGTTCAAGCGGCCAACATAGGCTAGTCCTTCTGCTGTATTGTCAAAGATAGAAGTAAAATTTATTCAAATGGGTCAAGTCTTGAAAATTAAGCTGTCACGCAGCTCCAGCTTGATACCCAATAAAAAAAAAAAAAAAAAAAAAAAAAAAACAAAAAAAAAAAAAAAAAAGAAATCAACACTTTGAATTCTTTTAAAATTTACTAAAAATTCCAGGGTTTGTCCGCTAGATTCTATAGATTGTTATGTAATTTGTTATAACTCTTAAAATGCTTCCAAGTCCGAGCGTGACAATTAGGACTCCACGACTCATAAGTATGATATTTATTTAATTTTTCATATCTGTGATCTTGAAAATTTTTCAAAATTTCACATTTTAATTATTTTTACTCCAAATCTTGCATCACGTTGCATTGTTATTAATCACAAATTTTGAAAAAAAAAGTTCTAGTTTCAGACACTACTCAGATTTTAAAGCCCCAGAATCACATCAAATCACATTTTTTGTCCTTTCAGTAAATTCCTTTCAAAGTGTTCTTAAAAATGCGTTCAATTTGGTTTTTTTTTTTGTTTAATATTGACAACCGGGATTTTTTAAGATTTAAACCGGTAAAAAACCGGGAATTTCAAAATGAAAATTCACTGGATGACGGTTTGGGGAATCTTGCCACTTGGTGGTTTAACTAGGGGATCCCTTCTGGCTTTGATTTTACGAAGAAACGGTTCCCTTTTACTGGCCAAGCATTCCGAAGTTTGAACTTCATCCAAGTCTTGATATCAGGTCCTGGAACGGTTTTAGTAGCGAGTCTTCCAGATCGGCCGCAAGATGGTCAGCTTCACAATTCCGCCGGATGTCGCAATGCCCTGGGATCCATAGGAAGGTAGTGTTCGACGGAGCTTTCCGTTGGATCCCTTGGATCCAAGGATGTCTGGATGTCTGGGATGCCAAAGCTGTTAGAACACTTGCAGAGTCCGAAAGGATACAGAGCGGTTTGCTCATTTGCCCCTGGGTAAAAAAGTTACTTTTTTAAGTTAAAAATAAAATAAAATTTAATACATTGAACTGCATCAATACGTAGGTACTAGAAAAGACATCAAAGAACAAGGGTAGGCAATGTTTCAAAGTATTAATTGAGCAATTCCCTATGAATTCGCAAATCGGTTTATCTTTGTATTTTTTGATTTGGTTGAAAATATGCGGAAACATTCCTCATGACCGACAATGCCATTTTGCATCTTAATATCGTTATTTTGAGTCCAGCCTTATTTTTGAAAAGGGCCTGTAGAAAAATATCAAGCTTATCTTCGGAAGATTCGTACTCGAAAACTGTTTGTCCGATCGGTTTGGTGTCTTGGGCAATATTGCAGGTAATAGATGAGACTATTAAAAAAAATATGCACCCTAAAAAAATCTACCCCACCTTTTTTTTAAATTTCAGATAAAAACAATTTTTCTCAAAAAAGGATTTTGGTATTTTTTTATTTGTTGATATGTTTTAGGGGACAAAAATACCATCTATTGCAGTATAGGTCAAGATGGAGAAATGATGGACAAAAAAGTTCTGATTTAAAAAAAAACTGCAATGTTTTTAAGATTTGATTTGAAAAAAAGGTGGGTAATTTTTTTAGAGTGCATATTTTTTTCAAATAGTCTCATCCATTATCTGCAATATTGCCCAAGACGCCAAGCCGATCGGGCAAACAGTTTTCGAGTAAAAATTTTCTGAGGATAAGGTTGATATTTTTCTATAGGCCCTTTTCAAAAATAAGGTTGGATCCAAATTGGCGATATGAAGATGCAAAATGGCATAGTCGGTCATAAGGAACGTTTCTGCAAATTTTCAACCAAATCAAAAATACAAAAATAAACCGATTTGCAAATTCGTAGTGGACTGCTCAATTGCAATTATTGCATACACAAATGATATCAACCTTAGGGTGTCCGTCTTGGCCCGTCTACCGTATTAGTTAGATTTTTTTTTTTTTTCCTTTGGTTTGTTTTTTCCGTCGATCTTGTTTTCCGTGCTGAGCACCAATGCTACCGACGTGCCAGGAAGGCAGCTCCCACACCTGGACCCTACCTATCAACCCATCAACTCATGAACCGGGGACCAACGGCTTTACGTCCCATCCGAAGGAAGGCGTGATCAGAGATGTTATGCCTCAGAACATCCAGGCGGCGCTGACTGGGATTGAACCCAGGCCTGCTGGGGTGAGAGGTAATCACGCTTACCACTACACCACCGGCGCCGTTAGTTAGGAAATTGTGTTATGTTATTTGTTTTTATAATTTAATTCAATTTTTCAACAGAAATCTCCCAACTGGATAAATAAATTGCCTTAATTTTGTTTCCATTAAATACTTCTAATGATTTTCCACCCTTAATTCGTTGATGACGTGCCGATTGCCTCATTCACTGTTGAGTCAATATACCTACTTTTTGGTCGATCAAAGGCACATCAGGCAAACACGAACTTAAGCTCCGTTTCCTTTTGCTTACCGTAATCAAGAAAAACAATAACAAGCACAAAAGAGAAGAGTGCAAAAACCCTTGCGGCAAATTTACACTTCTGGAAATTTGAAGAGCATCAACTTGATCGTTCGATTCAAGTGAGCGCGATCGATCGCTGCCGTATCCTGCGCTGCCTCTTCTACTAAACCAGCCCTAGCATACGCAAATAAAGTGAAGAAGTAAACTCAGCAAGTACACGCCCGTATAATACATAGACTATACTTTATAGAGAAGCACCTAGCCACGGTGGAAAAGAGAGACGGCAGTTGAGGGTTGGCATCGCGAATGTAATCAGTACAGCAGTAAACGTGAATCAACCGTCAAACCGTACGGACAGAAGTCGCGCGCGCACACGCGTCCCGTCCGATCGTTTTTGTTGTTCAACTTTGACCAATATTTCCGTTTTATCTCCTATAGACGAAGGTAGTTATCGTTTGACTGAACGAAGGCGCTTAGTATAGCGCTAAAAATAGGACGAAAACAAATTCAGTGTTGTTTGTGTTGGAATCGCGGGAAGTGAACAAGTGTTTTTCGAAAGTAAGAGTTTGAGTAGCGTGAAATTAAACATATAGTGAATTTGTTTATTATTCAGTTCCAACCTGGATCGGGTATCAAGATCGGCTCTACTTGTTTTCTGACAAACGTCAGTTTGATCGTTCGTTTTTCAAACCCACCTCAGGTTGAGGTTCGCACTGACAAAAAGTTTGGTTTCACACTCGATAATAAACAAATTCGCTAATAGATTCACTCCAGATTTACAACAATAAATGGCGAATACGATGCCAGCAACGATCGTGTTGGCAGTCTAATCTAATGCGGTGTAATTTTGTTTTTGCACGTTTCTTAGTGGTGTGTGGTCTTTGTGAACATAAGCTTTCCTGCTATAAGTTGTTCGCTCCGAGAAGGATAGGGCTACCATGGTAAAATATTGTTTAAAATTCGTTGCAAAACAAAACTGGGCATACCATACTTTTTCGGGATAAATAGTTATCCCTCGTTGCGTACATACCCAAGTAACAATTTCAGTTTTATGGGCGTTCTGTAGACCTTGTAGAATGATATGAATCCTTTTTTTTTGTTAATTACTTTATTTGTACAGGCTCAATCGAATAAACTTTGCAGAGCCAAGTTATCATTTTTATCGAATACACCGTTTTTGGCCAAAAGTTTTTGTTCCTATATGTTCATAGTTTTGAACATTCCAATAGTTTGTATTTTTCGTAAGCTTTTATTATTATTTATAAATCTGGCAAGGACAATTTGAGATTTGTGGGTTTACATTTTTTTTAATTTTTACTTAAAATAAATAGAACTTTTTTATATTTATTTTTTTTCGAAAGACATTATTTTTCTCTACAAATTTATCTCAGACGTTATTTCGATCAGAAATGCCGTTTCCGTACTACATTTTTTTGAAAAATTTCTTGGACGCCATTGTGGAAATCTTACAAGATCCAAAATGGCCGAATTTTAGCAAAAATGTGAATCATTGTCCATAACAAAAAATTACACAGAGTTTCACTTCCGAACTTTATGTTAGTCGTAATTCAGCCTTATATTGACTAGCAACTCTTCCATTTTCTCATACGTCCGGTATGAGACAGGCAGAATCGCATCATCTGCTGCTTAAAGGTAAATGTTCCGAGCGAATTATGATAGCAAAGGTTCTATCCTCAGAATATAGGTTTGTGTTTTTGCTCATTTTTTATGTGTTGCATCAACCTTCGCTCGAGCGCAGCGCTACTGTGTCTGTCGCTTGAATTCAGGCAAAGTTACCAGTCTTCTTGATATGTTGTCTTCGATAAAAGGCAATAAGCGCGCTTGATGATTATTTGGAGAGGGTGCTTAACCCAGTAAGACAGGAGGCACATTTTATGTTGCATTCATTTCAATTCAATTCCAAAGCTTTCATTGCTGGTAGCCCTATCTGTCGTGTGTCCCAGAGAGATGATGGATTGATATACATTCAACGGTTCAATCGACGACGATGTTGGTGAGCTAGGGTGGTGATGTAACAAGGGAAAACACTTCGAAGTATAATCACTTACCGACCGGCAGCGAAGTGGGAAGGTAAATTTAAACCAGGGAGAACGCAATAAGCCAACAATAGACACCACTTTGACGGAGGCTACCGCGACTCGAAGCTTGATGGGCAAGGACAACACCCCGATAACCGCTGTCGCCGTTTCTGCAATGCCATTAAAACACTTTTCTCTATTTCTTTGCAGGAGAAACACCGAAATTCGAAGTACAGTGCATTTGAATCAATCGCGAGCAATTGTTCTATTTAGTAGAAAATTAATACAGAAGAAATCCGCAAATTGTGATCGGTTCCCGATAGTGACAGTGAATTGGATTTGAAAATTTGTGTGTGTGTGAATCAGTGGATTAAGGAAAACAAAATCAAATAATAACAACTGAAATACGAAGCACCAGCCAAGAAATTAATTCGAAATGCGTAGTGTTCGAAGCAGCCTTACCATTGGACGACTGGCTATCTATCCGAGGAATTCCAACATACGGACAGGTGAGTGTCGCTGGTCTTGACCTTGAGCGTTTTGATTCACTACTGCGGTACGATCACCGTGATCTCTAAGTGCTTTACCGCCGAGGTCTCCGAAGAGGTAACCCGTGGGCTGTTGTGGGTTTTAATTACATTCAGCATTTGTTAGGAAATTACGCTAAGCAGCTCAAAGCTCATATTAGGATTCTGTTGACAAACTCGCGACCGCGAGAGCGCGAAAATAATGACTTTGCTCACACTTGGTGCTTGCGATGAGCGTGTGTATGTGTTTATGTGTACTTTAATCTGTTTTCGTAAAAGCAGCAGCCAATGTTTCGACGGAATTGATGAAGGTGGTTTTTGTGTGTTTGTTTGTTTGGCTCAGCATTTACTCAAAAAGATGGAAGCATATCGGAAATGATGGTGCGTTCATTATCGGGAACCAGTTGAACGTTTTTTTTTTCCTCAATGGAAACATCAGCTGATACGTTATCAAAGTGAGTTTTAAATTTGCCCGGTCGATTTTTTTTTGTTTATTTCAATAATTGGTTTTGAACAACCCCTATTGCATTTCATTTACGGTTTATGTTTAAGGTGCAATTTACTTTGATACGTTTTCCAAGAAATCAATCCCAGTTTCGATTTTCGTAGATTTTGCGCGGATTTCCAACTCAGTCTGGATTCAACTAAGTATCAATTTTAATTTAATGCAGGTCACCTTAAAGTAATTTTTTTTTTAACAAGAAGTCACTTTTTCACCCAACCCAAAATAAATTCTTGTGATATAACAAATACAACTGTGGAGTTCTCAATTTAATTAATTAGTTCCCAGTGTTTTTGTTTTTTTTTTCAATTCTACAAAATTCCTTCGATTAATCTTTTGTTATCGACGAAAGGGTGGTTTTCTTAATGAAGTCATTAAAATAATGTTCAAGTATTTGACGGAATCTTCCGAAGGTCCTTTGACCCTTTGTCTGATAGCATCAATCAATCCTACGAAAGCTTCATACATCATTTTATGGAATTTTGTTGATGAAAAAAGTCAGAGGCAAATGAATGTAAATGAATGCACGAAATTAATGTTAATGATTTTCCATGCCTGACTCCACGCGTGAAGTTAACGATTTACATAGTTGGAGATGGTTAACGTCGTTGACGATGACAGGAGCACATACAGTGGTAGAGGCAACAACAGCTGCAATGTCCAAACCTATTGACTAGATGCTTACGTCAGATGGCGACTTGAGTGTGAAACAATCGATAGAACTGTTTACGCACATCTAAGGTACGTGAGCAAATCGGCGATCATCTCTTTTGCCAGTGGTAGCGGGGGCAGATACCCCTAATCATTCCACCCCAACAGGGGAGTTTGGTAAAAGAGATGATCAACCCAATTCGTGCCTTTCTCAAAATTGACCCTTGCTCGCTTTCCACTTTCTGTATACAATTTTCTTTCTATCGTACTCTAACGGAACTATCACTTCTATACTTTCACCTCCTCATCTATCGTATAAAATGACCACTTTAAGTCTGATATTTGAAGTTGAGCATATCCAACTATAAACTTTTACTTGTTTTTGACGTAGGATTACGTCTTTCGGCAACATATTAGGGGTGCAATTTCAAAAAACCAAAATTGGCCGCATTACGAAAAGTGGTCAGGTTTTGACCACATATAAATCTGTCAATAGCGGATGGATTTTAATTCTAAACAAGCCAATCGATTAGAAATTTTGCTACGAATCTGCTAAATTGAACACTTTATTAATTTTCAATAGGTCACTACTGACAATTGCACAAATTCCGACTGTTGCAATAGTGATCAAAATTTTCACCGATTGCCTGCAAACAGCGCATTCCCTAACACAGATTTCAAAATCGTATTCGATCTTGTCTCCTTGTACGGTGCTTATTCAATCACCGTCTGTGGTGGTGTCCGGTCGGTCGTCAACAGCAGCAGTGCTTTCGGCGCGTATCGTTGAATATTGTACACAATCAAAGGCTGCCCGCAAGCAGCAAGCTGCAGCCCACATGAGCGTCCATTCATCGAAGGAGGAAGAAGCCTCACCGCTACTGACCGGGATCCATCTTCGTGAGTCGCTGTGGGCCATCTATGGTAAGCGCATCACCCTCGTTCAAAACAACATACAGCTCGCCAGCCTCATCCATGTTGAACACCCTAATAGCTCAGCATTACTCAACCATGACGACAAAACGGCTCTTTTCAGGACCACCATAAATTATTGTTGTTTAAGAGTTAATTTCATTGAACGTTCGCTCGCCTTGCTGCCAGCCACATCACCCCCAAACCTCTTTGATAATGTACCAAGCATTTAAACGTTTGTGGTCAAATGCGTAACAGTATTGAAGTGGTACATAAAAATTCTCGCAATGACCAAATACCACATGACCATGTCAAATAACCAGAAACACTTCGTAAGGTTTTCTCAAGAACGCTAGAAAAAGCAAAAAATCTCGAATTTATATGATTGATCGCGGATATCTCGCAATTGGAAAAATTTGAGCAAGAAATTCCAACTATCAATATTTGCTTTTTTATTATCTATTGAATAAACCAAAAATTACGTGCGTTTTGTGCACGAAACTGCGTAATTTTGTCATCAGAAAACGAGGTGTTTCCGGAATGGGAAAACTGGTTTCCCTAACACAGTCGCCGAATATTGATACCAAGCACTGAGCATGCCAGACGGTGGGCCTTATTACGGATGCCACTTTACGGTGAAAACTTGTCACTTGTCATCACGGTGAAGTGATTCCCATTTGATTTGTACGGCAATCACGGCTCTTATTCTGAGTATCACTTGCTTATCACCGTGTAGTGACACCCGTAATAAGGCCCGGTACCGATCTTTATTTCTTTTGGTGCAAATTTTAAGCCTCTCATATTAAGAGAATTATGCCAACAACAAAATCTTGCCGAATTCTCTTAATAGAAGGAGCTTAACATATGCATCAAAAAGCATAAACGTAGGGACCGTCCGGTAGGCCCAGATTATGTGATCGATGTGTTTTCCCTAATACATTAATTTCCACACTGCTATCATCTCCATCAAATTTCCACTGCATTGTTACAAACTGGCTTCCAAGCTTCCAACCCATCGGTTCTTTTCCACAAATGACTGATAAAAGAGTTAACTAAAGAGTAAGAGCTTGTATGCTAGATATATCGTCCATGGACTTCGACAGAGCACCTAACTAAGAGAACTCTCAAGTTGCTTCTGAATTTCAACCTATCAAACTTTTTTTACTGATAACGAGTTAAGAAAATAATTCAATATATAGGGGAAATGGCTCTAATGTTGGCCTATGGATCTAAGATTGGGCCCATCGCTAAAAGTCTGTTAATTATCAATTTTATCTAGATGAACGCATTGGGACGGTATTAATTGAAAATTTAGTAGATTGCTGAATTTATGTATGGGCCCAAATTAGGGGCATTTAGGCCGACATTACATCCATTTTCCCTACTATACTTTTACTGTGAAACCAAAATTACCTTTCGTAATCCTACGTCAAATCTACGGTCGTGTCTTGGATACAACCTCTTACTTTTGTTTTTTTTTTTTCAAAAAACTGAATTTGACAGGAATTCCATTTTTGTACTACATTTTTTTGAAAATTTTTACAAGATCACTAAAGTCACTACTATTGTATCACATGCCCACTACCAGCCCTGTAGTTGTTGCTTGATACATTTTAGAGTGTTTCGTGGCAAGCCTTAATCAGTTAGACACGGTATTGTCATGCCGAAGGTGGCGGTTTAAAAAATTTCCGGGTGAGAAATTTGCCTCAAGTAATAACTGTAGAAATTCTTCAAAGGGACCGTCCATAAATAACGTAGCATATATTTGACAAATTTTATACACCCCCTCCTCCCTCGTAGCGTATTTTCATACCTAATACATGGTCGGTCACAAATTCTGAAACCCCCTCTTATGCTACGTCATTTATACATGTCTAATCTAATCTAATCTAACACCAACACAGTCAGTTCTTGAAAGCATCCTGGAAAATGATATATATATATACCTACATCATTTTTCTTGTCTATTTGATATATGTTTCACATCGAAGATGCGTCACACATATCGAAACGGCCAGGCCTACCGTGCAGAATTTAAGGGGCAAGATGATTCAGAAAACATCGGGCCTGTTTAAATCGTAACGTACTTTCCGATTTTGGTAATTATATGGTTGGTTGGTCCTTGGAAGCATAAACGCTAGAAAGGTTAAGTGATGCTCCATTTTCTTCTGATGGTTGTGGCATGAGCATTAACTCTTGTCATAGCCTTTTATGACTTATGGCTATACCGCCATTACTCGCTTTCTGAAAAGAGAAGAGGGAAAGAAAAAGGAGAAGGACAAAGGGAAAAGTATTATGTGAAATCTACGAACATAAACAATATTTTTGATTTGAAATATACAATATAGAAATGCACAACGGCGGTGGTCACTACCCGAGTCTTGTGATGTGATCCTTCGATAATCCTGATTCCCTAGATTGAAGTTGTCACGACTAGGGTTCGGTGGTAGATCTTATACCAGTAGCGCACCACAAAAAGGTGGTCTCCCAACGTTAGTGGTTTGAAAAGATAAAAATTAACAAAATGGAACGAACTCACCAAGTTTAGCCAATTGAACCTGAAGGCTGCTTGACATGTGTTGATGTATAAGTCGAAATTGTTGACGAAGCTTGAAGAAGTTCAACATAAAATAGTCCGGTTTATGGTAGTTGCGCGGAATGTCTTCCGTCGATTTGATGGATGTATGTAGTCGATTTTTGATGTGCATTGGCAAGTCTTTTCGTGGTCAATAGTCAGGTTCAACGCTGCGACACAACGAATAATGGAACTAATTATGGGACGCCTCGTGGAGGTTCTACTTGGCTTCGGAACAGCTTCTCAGCGGCAAATAATATGGACCTAGAATGAGGAACTAGAAATTGTCTTTTGAGGCTGGTTCTGGCCAGATCAGCAACCGATTATAGATTCGGAAAAGTCTCA